TCAAATCTCCAGATTGCGAGTTGCTACATCTGTGGAAAAGGTAATATCAAATTTATGAGTATATCTGAAAAAACTGCATTTTTAATGTTCAGCTTTGAATTACATTAGCTCAAAATAAGGGGAGGAAAAAGATGTACATAACAATACACTTATGTTCTCTTTGACACTCAAATGATTGCTCCTACAAACATATAAAGTACAACTTCTTAGTTCGATCCAAGATATTGCAAGAATTTATTTGTGCAAAATAATAAAAAAATAAAGGAAACCAAAAATTTTACTGACCAAGAATGTACTAGTTCTGGTAACAAGAAGCTACTTCTTTTCTTTCCCCATTCTTGCTCCAGTCAACTGGTAACCTAGTTTGATTTTGTGTAGATATGCCATGTTACCTAAACTTGAAATTTCAGGTATCTGCTATTTACAGGAATTTATATTCTTCTTTGACGTACTTGCGTTTTACGTGATTCAAGACTTACTGAACCTAAACAACACATGCAGAAACAGTAACCAATTTTCTCTGTGTTCATATCCAGAAAACCATATATAATAAATGAAGTATGGACTGCAACATTAGCCTATACTAGCATTTATCCAGAAAACCAATCTTTGCTCATCAATCATATGAAATAACACACAAGAGACCAAACAATTAAAATTGAATCTAGAAATCTGTTTTACCCAAAAACAACTGTAGCTGAAGAATTTACAGTCTGCTCATTTCCCAAGACTGTATCAAAATACATAGTATCAGATACATAATATCCCGAAGTGCCGCTTCCATCACCATACAGGAAGGAGTAACTGCAAAGAGAGCTTGAGGAACCAGAGGTGGAACACACTGCCTCTTCCGTTTGGAGAGCAGAGGTGCACCTATCGTCAGAGCAAGATACCAATGACGATGAGGATGACTTGTCTGGGTCAAAGAATTCGAGTTGGATCTGCAAAGGATCAAAGGACAGCTTGTGTAATCAGTCTCCAATGAAGCACTGAAGAGATATGCGACAGAAAAATTAAGGCTTATCATTTAACTGAATAAGCAACACTTTGTAAAATCAAGCTGGCATGGATCAAATCCATCTCATTGATCAAGGGAGTTGGAACTTCTGGAAACAGGGTCTTACATTCAGCCCACTGGATATTGGGCACCCACTGCATGAACTGCATGTCACCCACAAGATGTCACTTCCAGTGTCAATCTGGACATAAAATTCTTTCGACGGGTTCCCCAATTTCACACGAGTAAAGTAAAGCCTGCAGTTAAGGCCAAATTCAACAGCTCAGTAAACAATATGTAAAAGGAAAGAAGAAAGTTAGCATACCACCATTGTGAGAACTCGGCAATAATTTTGCGAGAACTAACAATAATGTTTCTATCCTGATGACAAGAAAAGCGCCAACAGAAATCAAAAACTAGAAGAGCTCGAGAAGAAAAATAGAAGAAATACCCATTGATAATGTATGGGAGGAAAAATCGAATTTTGCAGATAAACAACAATGGTTTACCCAAACAAATAGCAATTTCAGCGTAGTACTTGAACTCTAAGAAAAAAAAACACACCATATAAAACGAAAATTGAGGAGCAAAACATCCGATCAATCTAAAAAAAGGATCAAGGCTTATCACCAAACGAAAACCGATCAAACTTCAAACCGAAGAATCAAATGAACGCAAAAAAGGTAATTTTCTAACAAAACCAGAGGAGAAGACGAAACACCATCCCAGACACATCGAACTCCGAACCAAACCGCAAGAATAAAGAGTACCCGACGGTGAACGGATTGGAGGAGCCCTCGACGGGGAAATCCACCACCCCGGCGGGGGTAAAGGAGGCGCCCAACAGGAACCGGCCATGCCGGGCGCGGTCCCGAGCCTTGAGATGCTCCACTCCGACCCCTCTCGTAGGCAGCGCCCTCTCCAGGTTCAGCTTGGCCGGGAACGGACCGGCGGCAGCGAGATGGGCTGCATTCGCCGTCCCAGCCACGACGAGCAGGATCACGGCCGGTATCCACATCCCCCTCTCAGCCCCTCCTCGCCACAGCCTTCATCTTACGATCAGTATAGCTGGTAAGACGAAGGGAAAGCGATCGATGTCAATGATGACGTATCAACAAACGCGGTCCCTGCTTTGACGCCACTACTGGGGCCCACCTAAAAGCAGGTATCGGATCCTCCGTCGTTCACATTCGATACGCGTACGGATCCGGTTCAGATTTGGGTGCTTTCGCCCTGCTCACATGTACAAAGCAAGGTTCCATGTTCCAAATATCGGGTTATCGGATCCATCACCGTCCCAACAGATTGAGGGTTTGTTGCATGTGATACGTGGGTTGAGTTCCAAAAGAACACTTGCTCTTATTCCTCGTATCTTATAAAATACTAGTAATTTATTGAATCACATAACATAACATTGCATTACATTATGTTACGTTATTGAATGATTGACAAACCCTATCTTAGGAAATGTGGGACATCATTCTTTTTATACAGGTATGGATGCATAAAATTGCATTACATTATTATTAGTCCATTTGGAGTGCAATGGTTACGTGGGTGGCTTGGAGTCGATTGTCGTGAGCCCTACTTTGGCCTACGTGATTGGAATTCGGATAAGCACCAAACTGTTGGCATGTCAGCATCATACAATTCAATTAGAAGAGAGTAGGTGTAGAGGATCAAAACCATCCAATCCAGACTTGTTTTGCTACACGTTTGTTTTCACTACGTCACCAGAATTATCAACATAATACAGCATCGGTTCTTATTCTACATTCCCGACTCACCTACTTGCTTGTATTAAAGGCATAATGAGAAATATCGGTAAGTTGATAGCAGCGGTATGCTATAAGAATATTCAAAATGTGTTATCCGACGACCATCTTTGAAAATGTGTTATCTAATATTTTTAAATAAAATTTTTAAGTTTAATAAATCATAAAGAAACTAGGTCTCAATCTTTAATGATCCTTGATTAATTAAAAATTTAATTAAAATAATATAATTAATTTGAACCAAACTAAATTTAATTAAGATCTTATCTTTATACGACCGGTAACTGATCTAATTTAGATTTGACTGATTTCAATCAGGATATATAGGCTTGAACCGATCAAGTCGGTTTTGAATCACTTTCAATTAACTTAAATTGATCATACTTATCTAATTCAGTTAATTGATAAGTTCAAATCAAATAATGAAGATGAAATTGGACTATGTTGTATAGTATTAACCTAAACCGAATAACCCCATTTGAGTTTTGGATAAATCATATATATTATATATGTCTATCCCAAGTAGCATGTTGGGTTGAGGTATAATGGATTAGATAGATCGATGACTATGTGTTTAGCACTAATCGTATAGTTGGGCGGACCTAGCTTCATGAGTTTAGTTAAACTTCGCTCACAAGTTGGGTTGGGCCTTACCATTGAACTTGGTCATGCTTAGCTCACGGAGTGGGTCGTGCCTAACAACATGGGTTGGACCATGACCACATTGGCTAAGTCGTGTCTAACCATATGAGTTTGGACATGCTTAACCACATAGATTGCGTCATAATTAGTTACATGGGTTGAGTCATGCCTAGCATTCACATGGGCTGAGATGTACATGATCACATGGGCTAGGGCATGCCTAATCATATGGTTGGACCATATCTGGCTACATGAGTTATACTATACCTAGTTACATAGGCTAAGTCATACTTGGCCACATAGGCTAAGTTGTATTTGGTCACATGGGTTGGGACATGCCTAACCACATGGGCTAGACCATACTTGATCATATGGATTGAGCTATACTTGGCCACATTTATTGGATCGTAGGTTGGGTAATGCCTAACCACATGGGCTAAGTTATATCAAACCGAGATTTTACCTAGCCACATGGGCTTGTATGATGAATCAATTTAACCCAGATCAAACATTAATTTAACTACTCTCATTAAATTAGATTTTAATATTTTAAAAAATATTATAAAATAAAAATTATACTATATGGGTTGGGTCATACTCGATCATATGGGTTGAATTATACCTTGACATATTGGCTGTGTTATATATAATCACATGAGTTGAAACATACTTGATACATAGGTTACCCATGGCGTAATCGCATCGGTTGGATCATACTTGACTACATATATAACTACATAGATTATGTTATACCGGATCATATATCCTATTCTTGTACCTTGTCACATCACTTATTTTAGCTAATCAACTTAACCTAGACTAAATTTGATAACTTTTATAAAATTAAAATTTCATAAATACTTTAAAATACTATAAAATAATAATTAATCTCAAATCCATTAATTAACTAATTTAGAATCATGATTTCAAATTTAAAACTAATTAAATCATAAAATTATATATAATTTCTTAAAACATAAATATATCTAATTAAATGAATTAGAACTATTATTAAAACTAATCATTATAACATCTAAATAAATTATCATTATTTATAATTAAATAAATTAATAGTCAAATTTGAAACCTATTGCTTAAACAATAATAATATATTAATCAATTCAAATTACTTATCCAATAATATACAAATCAATTCATTATATATATATATATATATTTTTTTTTTTTAAATAAGAGAAGAGTTTTATTTATTTATTTGAGTGCATAGCGACATTTGACTTTTCATCACTAAATTTATGATCTCATACATATCAATTATTACAGCAATCAAATGCGATATTAATAGTGACTTCTAACGTCTTATGCTTTTGGATAAGGATAAATAATTTAAGATAAAGGTGATATTTCTCAACACCACTATGTTATTTTTATACGTTTACTAATAAAAGCTTCATGTGACACCTAAGTAAGTCCCTTTCACAAAATAAAACAAATAAAAGTAATATTTTTCATTAAAAAGAAACAAATTATGGAAGTTTTTCTTTTAAAAAAATTAAAATAAAACGGAAGGTGCTAAATATAGTTTTCTAACCAAAACTCTTCCACCCACCCTCTTCTCCTTCTCTCATGTCCCCTTTGATCTCTCGAATCCTTTTCCGCTCTTCTCTCTTGTCTCTTCAAGCACATTGTTCTTCTTCCCTAAATACTATTAAGTTCATAATTTGTTTTTCTTCTTCTAGTTTAATATGAGATTATTCTCCTAATTAATCTTTAAGGTCGATCACCATCGCCGGAGGTTTCCAATCAGGGTTAGGGTTTTTGAGGGCCAGGAGTGGCGCCGGCGAAGGAGAGGATGTTGAATAGGATCATCAAGCGGGGGGGCCCCAAGCTCCCCAAAACCGACGCCAACGAGACGCCTGCCGTCGTCGTCGGCCACGTCTCCCGCCCCGCCGCGGGCTGTGACACCTCCTCCGTCCCCTCGATCGAGGCTCTCCCACTCTTCCGTGACGTCCCCGCGGGGGAGCGGCAATCCCTCTTCATCCGTAAGCTCCGGTTGTGTGCCGTCGTCTTCGACTTCTCCGACATGATCACCCTCCGCTGCGCCCGTGAGCGGGAGGTCAAGCGGCGGTACCTCGCGGAGCTTATTGACTTCGTCCAGTCCAGCTCCGACCGCCTCGCCGAGCCTGTGCAGGAGGAGCTGGTCCGCACCATCGCCACCAACATCTTCCGCTGCCTGCCCCCGGCCGCCCACGAGAACACCGGCTCCGAGGCCGCCGCCGCCGCCGCCGCCGCCGATCCCGAGGAAGAGAACATCTTTCTCGACCCCGCCTGGCCCCACCTCCAGCTTGTCTACGAGCTCCTCCTCCGCTACGTCGTCTCCTCCGACACGGACGCCAAGGTCGCCAAGCGCTTCATCGACCACGCCTTCGTGCTTCGCGTCCTCGACCTCTTCGACTCCGGGGACCCTCGCGAGCGCGAGTACCTCAAGACCATCCTCCACCGCATCTACGGCAAGTTCATGGTCCACCGCCCCTTCATCCGCAAGGCTATCAGCAACATCTTCTACCGGTTCATCTTCGAGACGGAGCAGCACAGCGGCATCGGTGAGCTGTTGGATATCCTCGGCAGCATCATCAACGGGTTCGCACTGCCCATGAAGGAGGAGCACAAGCTGTTCCTCGTGCGGGTGCTCATTCCCCTGCACAAGACGAAGCCGGCAGGGGTTTACCACCATCAGCTCGCCTACTGCACAACGCAGTTCGTGGAGAAGGACTGCAAGCTTGCGTACACTGTGATCCGAGGGCTGTTGAAGTATTGGCCAGTGACCAACTGCCAGAAGGAGTTGCTGTTCCTCGGGGAGTTGGAGGAGGTACTGGAGACCACGCAGCCTACAGAGTTCCAGCAGTGTATGGTTCCGTTGTTCAAGCAGATCTCCCGCTGCCTCAATAGCTCTCACTTCCAGGTTATGAACCCTTCTTGTCTTTCTTGAGTTCCTTTTTAGTTGTAAGTCTGTGAATTTTAAGTTTGCTGTTAATACTTCTAGTATTGATGCATCAGTGAAGGATGAATTTTGATTATGTTTCAGTTATTCGGAGCAAGAAAGTTCAATATATATATTGTGTGGCAAGTAACATCTCAGACATTGCCTCTAAAGTTAGTGAGATATTATATTGTCAATACTCAATGTTGAACATATGATTTATGATTCTGAGGTTTTCATTTACGAATACACAGTCAACTAAAAGCTGAGATTTATTTCCTCTGATCTTTATCTCTGAAGCATGTTAGGTCATAGGTTTATAATCTAATTAAGATGGTCACATGATTCTACTAAGAAAAGAGTGAAAGTTGATCTGTTGAAAGAGTTTTCTGGAGCAAGAAAATATTTACTCTATCTGCCTGTATATTTTTCGTGCTGCGAGTAATTTCTCAGCTTTTGCTTTTCAGCGAGTGATATTGCTGCCGTGATCAGGGGGTTCAAACACATGGTTTATGATCCTGAGGTTTCGGTAAAGAATTCTTTATTTCTCAACCATATGTTAAAGTCATGGTTTTATTATTCGATCAACGGTCCTCGGATGGTTGAGTAGGCATTTAACGTTGTAGCCCTGCAGAGCAAGTTATGCGTCAACATGCACATGTTATGGTTCTTTCATTAAACTCTTGGAAAATAGAAATGACTAATCATATGATTCATTAAGAATCTACTACTTTAAGAATTCTGGAATGGATGGTGAATCACCTTTGTCTCATGCTTCATAGGTTCTTTGTTTCTAAAGCCTAGGCATATTATTTTACGTGGACCTCATGTAATATATAAATTAACCTGACCTTTTCTTGTTCTTTTGGGATTATGGATGTCGATGGTCATGCTGTTGTCACTAGCTGGTAGGATCAAATGAAATTTTGTCTTGCAAAAAATGTTGGCTGTGCTATTGCCACTGGCTTGGTTTATTAGTGTATATACATATATACATTGCATTATCATAAATTTGAATAGTTTTTTCTCTCATGATGAGTTCAGTGAGTGTTTAATATCAGTGAATTGTATTTCATTTCTAATTAACAATTAACAATGCATGTGGAGTTCCTTCTGGACCACCAAGGTCTTAAGTTAGCTTCCTGCCGATGGTAGGTTCAGCCAGTAACTAATCAGGTAGAGGGTAATATTAATCAAGATTCTCTCATCTGGATATAGTTCTCCTTTCAACTTTGTGCTTGAGACACTCTTTTCCTGCTTCCTACTTGTGTGTTTGAGGGGTGACTTTTGTGCAATATCTTTTGAACATAAGCATATCAATGGGGGCCAGTCAAACTGGCCAAACAGAATCCAGTATTGTAAGCAAGGATTGTTGTGCTAATACCTTTCTAGCATGATATGGTTCCATGTCATGCCCATTGGAGTTGCTGTTTACTGGTTGGTATAACCCAAATATTGGTCTAGCCATATACCTATTTTGATATGGCATATTTCGAGCCATGCCAACAAAACACATGCCAATCGGGCTGGTAATTCTTGATCCGAAGCTTGTCATGATTACATAAAGTTCATCAAACTATTTGTCCTAGCAACTAGAGATACTCTTGTCATGATTCTCCGATGAATTAATTCCCCTTGTGTAAATTTGCACTGCTGTATGCTGTTTGACCATTTACATATTCTTTCATTGTCTGCTAGCCTTCTTTTAAAGAATGATGATTCTCCAACTATTTTCGCTTCTTCATTGATAAATATTTAGAGTTGCAATATCGTCAGCCACAATTACGTTGTCTATCAGGGCTTCCAAATATTGTTGTGTGAGGGGGGCTTCCAGTGCAACAGAAGAGAACAGTGGTGAACTAGCACATAGTTTAGAACACCTGATTGTAGATATCTTAAATTGAAAAGTTAAAATGAGATTCCTTGTTCCTTAATTTTATGATGGTTTCTGCATGCTTTTTACCTGCTTGTGTTTGCTGTATCTCTTTAAACAGAATAATCCACTAGCTATCATAGGTTGCAGATTCTTGAGCTGTATGTTTCTCCGTACAGTCAACAATGCATATTTAACTTTTAGCAGTAAGTTGGATGAACTTTCTGGTGTTGCTGATAAGTATTTTGTTATACCATCCACTTTTGAGCAAAATGTTCCCTTCCTTTTTCATATATCTTATAAGTCTAGGCACTAGAATGATTAAAATGCGCTTGTCCGATGATTAGTAGCTTTCTATATCAATCATTTGATACATCTTCTACAGATACTAAAGTTAAGGATGGCCAACAGGTTGCTGAACGGGCTCTCTATCTTTGGAACAACGATCACATCGTCAGCTTGATCTCGCAAAACTGCAGTATCATTTTGCCAGTCATATTCGAAGCACTGGAGAAGAACATGCAGAGCCACTGGAACCAAGCAATTCATGGCCTAACCGCAAATGTCCGAAAGATGTTTCAAGACATGGATGGTGATCTTTTTGAGGATTGCCGACAGCAGTATATAGAGAGAGTAGCAAGTGCCAAAACCTTGGAAGAACAACGAGAGCTGGCATGGAGACAACTAGAAGCTGTAGCTGCAGCCAAAGCTGCTGGAGAAGCAATCATTCTTGTCAATTAGCCTAACTTGCAGCCTCTCTCTCTCTCTCTCTCTCTCTCTCTCTCTCTCTCTCTCTCTCTCTCTCTCTCTCATTCTTGTATATATACACATGTATGTTCTTTTTTCCTTCATGTTTAGATCGGACTATTAGAATTAATATAGGAAGAAAATAAAAAGAGATATAAATCACTGGTGGTATTGCAGAAACACAGATTAAACCAAACAAAGATAGTTAAGATGAAAAAGTGATGTTTGTTTTGTCAATCATTTATAGACGACCTATCAAACTTTTGCTGTGGCCTGCTGATGTCATTCGAATGATCCCCTAAAGAAAGATTCTAAGGGGAGGTGGTGGTGGTTCATCGTCAGAGATGGACCAAATAGAGGTCGATAGATAAGCCGATTAGATAAGGTGGTCGCTTGGCGAAAGTATCATATAATTGTCGGCAATAACGCACCTCTGAGGAAGGAGATGGCACGAGTGACATCCGCGACAATAGGATCGCCACGGTGGCATGTCTGAATTGGAGGGTGCTGACGTGGAGCTTCTCACTGAGCTCCCCATGTCTAAACTTCCACTGCAAGAATGCCTCGTGTTGCTTATTCCCAATCCTAATTGCATTTATGTTAATTTAAATTACCATCTTACATTTTATGCCATGTTTTCGTTGCTGAAATGCCACGACAAATAGTACTAAAAAAGTGCATATGATTATATAAAAGGTGAATTCTCCAAGAAAAAAAATCTTTATCCTTGAGAAATTTTCGAGAGTATGTTTCTCTTTGTAAATAATAATTTTGCCCTTGGCTCCTATCGAATTTGTCTTCGTCGTGCATAACAATTTTTCGTCAACTCCACTATCCCTCTTCTCTTCTGGCCCATTAAACTTATCACCGCCTCTGCTTCCATCCCTAGCCTCTGTTAGACCTATCGCTCCAATTACATCATCCTTGCTCATTGCACAAGCAGCCAGCATCGTCATTTGTGGCCCTTGCATTGCCTTGCACGATCTTCGTCATTGTCTCCCTTCTCTGTTTTGTTGGATTTATCATTCCCTCGACCTCTGCCCTAGTCCCCACCAAACCTGTCGTCTCGTTCTAATCATCCATGCCCATTGCATAGACAACTAGCATCATCATCTATGACCCTCGCACCGCCATTACCTCCCTTCCCCTCTGTTCCATTGGACACATCGCCACCTCCCCTATTGCCTCCACCCCGAATCGTTGTAAGGCCCATTGTCTTGCTCTCATTGTCACTTGTAACTCTTACATGAGAAAGGAGAGCACATGAGGGTTGTTGCCACCTCCACACCCTCTCCTTCCTTACGTAAGGGCGAGGTGGACTACTCCGATTGTGGTCACAAACATGAGTAAACGAAGAGGGGAGACAGTAGTTATGCACAAGACAATACCAAATGGAGGCAAAAGTAAGTCCAACGAGAAACAAGAGTAAAATTATCTTTTCACACAACAAAAAGCTTTCCATCAGAACTTTTAAAAATCGAGATGGTTTATGAGAATTTCTAAAAGATATAGAGTTTGTTTCGAAAATTTACCTTTATATAAATTATGCAATAATCGTTAGTTGCTATAACAAAAATTTTGAAGCCCAAACATTGTTCTGTAAGCAAAAAAAAGTAGCCTGAACACAGAATCATAACTTAGGGAAAGCTGATCCAAAGCTTAAGGTAGAAGTATGATAAAAGTAGGCCTAATTTTGAGAAGCACAATCAAGATAAGTTTTTTTTTTGTTGTTTTAGAACACAAGTGATAGATGAAGCTTCATCTCCCAAGAACATGCAAGAAAGCAAGCATCTCATCTTCTCTAGTTATGGTTTAGCTGTAACCTCTAAATTATCACAGAAGTCATCAAGTTTTCCTTTTTGAACCAATAAGAGGAAAAATTCACATACATTTCTTGAGTATCAAGGAGTATGTGGACAGAAAAAAGAGAGATGCTGTTTTTATTCACATAATACTATTTTTGCAGGTGAAAAACTAAAATAAGAAAACACCCAACTTTGTAATTGTAACTGGTTCACTGCAAGGAAAACATAACAAATGTATGTTTCTGTTCTGGAAAAAAGAATAAATATATATTATCACAGTGACCACCGTCGCAAATGATCTCTCTCCAATTTTACAAGATATTAGATCCTGCCACAAAGTCGCCACAACACAGCTTAGGATTCCTGTCAGCTATATAACCTGAGGCCAATGCCAAGTCACCAACAATATTGCCTAGCGATCTTGGAATGATGCATTCATGAGGTTAACTGCTGAATCCATAAACTGGACAAGGCAAAAACCAGCGTGTGATTAGAATATGTTAACTAAGTACAGAAAAGGAATTAACACATGAACTTGAAATAAATGTACTGTGAAAATTTAGAAAACGCAAGATACTAACGAACATAAATATATATCAATGTATACGTCGCTTTTAGTAATCTGAGCACATAATCGTGCACTTAAAATCCGAATGCAGTGCAACAGTCATCGGTTTTCACTGATGGTCACCACTGGCACAGCTAAAATGTTCCCAATACAATGAATAAAAAATATTCTAGAGTGTACATAAACTTATCATTAGTGTAGGAAATTTGCAAGGTAGTCCATTCCATGATTTAAATACTGATCAAGCCAGTGTATATGATCCGGTCTGACTAATGATCAGCAACAGCAATAGTCAAATACTACTTTAGTAATTTTCTTTCGGTGATAATAGAGGAAACAAATCGATATACTACTCGATGGGCAGGCATCAAGGTCAGACAAGTTGTCAAAACCACAACTGCACCAATATCTAAAAACTTTGTCTGTTGTATTTTGACTTGACAATGCAAAGTTTAAGAACAACACCCAGTATAGAGTCACTGGGTCCTACCAGTGGTGAAAACCAGTACTGGACCAGCATTTAAAATGACTGTCCATTATCTTTTGACTTGAGAATACAAAATGGTACAAGGCTAGATAAGCAGAATCATTTTATTTGGTGCACATGATTGCGAATGGCAATCGTAACTTTGGTTTATAAATTACAGGGTTGCTAGAGTTTTAAGCCCATATTGTTTTGATATCCTTAACCATAGTATTTGATTAAGCATAATTCAACATGAATGCATATGGGAAAGCATTGGTCATGCAGAAACAACGTAACTTTCACATCGGAACATTCAGTTAATGAAAGTTGGTCACTAATACAACCATAAATATTGCACTTATTTCCACAATATCCAGAAGTTAAAAAACCTATAAATTTTGGTCAAACATTCTTGGTACATAGTATCTCTCTGCCATATATGTTATTATGAGAACCTTAAACAGCAAAATTTCCCCGCATAGTATCTGATAGTATCTCTCTGCCATATATATTATTATGAGATCCTTAACAGCAAAACTTCCCCACATAGCATCTTTCTGATCATAGTGCATAGTATTTTCTAAACTATCTTTTTCTAATTTCTGTGACCAAATGAAAAGGTAAGTTTGCATATCACTGTTACAACCATAAAGATTGCAATTATCTTCACAATATCAAAAGTCACAGAATCAGCAAAATTTGGTCAAACATTCATAGCACAGTGTCTTTCTACTTACATGTTATTCCAAAGGCCTTTAAAGACACCAAACTTCCCTATTTTTCCTAATTTCTGTGACCAAATTAAAAGCAAGTTTGCATATGACTGTTTTGATGAAAAATTTAACTCTGTTTCCTTTACCCAGACTCGATTAACATATTGATAATAATAATCATTAAAGCAAGCTGCTTCTATCGATCAAAGGCTCTCAGCTGCTTCTATCGATCAAAGGCTCTCAGGTTAATAAACAGAGGTTGCGTCAATGCAAAGAGATGGCACAATCCAGAATCCTCATCATCCATGTAGTATGCATAAAATTTAGCACTATTCCCGGTCAATCATGATAATTATTAACCGAAATTAAATTTTCAATAACTGCTGCAGAACAAATAATGATCTAATTTTTACCATAGTGCATAAGTATAATGACTTACTGCCAGAATTATTATATTAAGAAAATAATATCCAAAGGCAAATTTCATACCAAGGCCAGTGCAAAATCCCGAATAAGCATGAGATACTTAAGCAAATATTGCAACAGCATATTTCAGAATACAATCTACCACCAAAGAGATGTGGAGCATACAACACATACTGTCTCCACTATTGTTTTAAACTTGAGGGGAAATATATTCTCCATATGGGAAGGCTGTGGGTGAAAAGGATTCAAATCCACTGGATTCTGTCCATGTGTACTCAAAGGGAACCATCCTCATCAATTTTAGCTTAGGAAAACAAGAAAGTGCATTTTTCTTTATGTCTCTCAGAAGAAGATTCCAAGATATGAAGCGTAAGAGGAGATATCATAATTTTCAAGAAGCAAGAATGGTCAAGTTGCTGTTCACCTTTCCAAGAACCTGAAGTTCCCTTCCAACTGGTTCCATAAATTTAATATTGATGTCTATCGGCCATACCTGCATTATCCAGTACAAATAATGAGAACAATTTTTATGTGGAAGAAGATTTTGAAACTGCAACAGTAAGAAAGTAGGGATCATTAGTGAACGACAAAACTCATCTTCAAACAATTAAACTATACATATAACAAAACAATCTTCTCAGTGGTACAAGTAGTTATTATAAAGGGAACTTCACTATGGATCATTCTATAATCCTGCAACCGTGCAATCCATTAACAGAAGCATCAGAAGAGATTTATACAGATAACTGAGGTAGGAAAGAAAATTACTCAGAGAAAAGGAGACAACAGAAACAATTTTGTTGTCGATTAGCATCTAACCTCAAATGACAAGTTATATGCCCATCTGAACAACGTATAACCAAGTTCCAAACATTAATAAACATAATAGTTATAACAAAAATAACATACCAGATACCATGCACACAGAATGCCAAGAAAAATGTCAAATTAAGAAATTTACCAGTCACAATATAAGAAAATTTTTTACTGATTCATCTGTCAAGTAAATTTATCACTTCAAAGATAATTATGTGAATCTTCAAGGTCAAAGTATCAACCGATATCAGGAACTTTGACCCATATATAAAATAATGACTACAATACACACTGACATGATTCTAGATCATTTGCAATGTAAACTGCTGAAGTAGCATAAACCAACAAAGACTTATTGCTTGAGAACTTTTAATAATTTTGTAACATCTCTTCTACATTGCCTCTGAGATTTGCTGCAAATAGACGTCAAAGTGACTCCACTTTTTTTCAAAAAAACAGAATTTGCTATTATTAGAAGTCAAAAAATACCCACTTCATTTACAGAATGTCAATATAACAGTCAAGTCTATCATCATGGTCGTAACATCTTTCTCCAGATGAACATTTAATCATATTTTCCTCAAAGAAAAAGTAACATAACAGTAAAGAACAAATATACTGAAGAATACTCTGCTTAAATCATTATAGTCAACTATTTTCAAAAAAAGCATATTCATTTTTATTCCATTCAATGCAATCGGTAACCAGAAAGTCTCATCCAAATGACGGGCAGACAAATCCTTATGTCTTAAACCTAAACAGAATAAGCATCTCTCATAAATGCCGTACATGCTGAAACTTCTGTTTTTTTCCTTATCCAGTAAACTTTATGCAAGCTAAAGATAATTTACCACATTAAAAACTTCTTCACCTATTATTTACCAAATTAAATACTTCTTCACCTATTATTGGTTTTTATGGGAATAAAAGGACTTCAAAAAGTTCCATGACGAACTTAAATAATCATCCATAAATTTGCATCAACCTACATGTGCTAATGCTAAACTATCCTCTAGTTGTGAAATATAGAGAACCAGAGTTTCAATTCTGTACATAGGTTCAACCAGTTACCAGTCTATTTCAATAATCCATTAAATATCCCTTCTATGGGAGCCATGGATAAAATATCCCCATAGGTTTTCATCAGAAAAATAAGAAGACAGAAGAGGAACTGTAAGCCAGAGAAGATCATCGGACCGAAGAAGGGAAATTACAAGCCACAGATAAATAATTATAGTGCCAATCTTTTCAGGCCCAGAATGGAACACCATGCAGAACAACCAAAACAGAACTAGAGAGGATGACTGCAGAGAAACATAAAGCAAGCTATTGTGCAAATATATTCTAAATATGCTCCATAAATGCTCTAACTGCAACCTTGTTTCCAATCTTTTACTATGTGTTTCTTTTCTTCCTTGCACTGTCCATGTTAATAATTGAAATCCTAGGAGCAACAAACGAGATAAACAAGAAAAAAAAAAAATGCTGTTGACCAAACAAAAAAAGGATATATCCTGTAACAAAACTCCACCTCCAAAAGATAAAAAATCTATAACAAGCGCCACCCATCCATCAAGCTCAACAAGCATCCTCCTGTGGCAAATTAAGAGGTGAACAATTTATTATCCTTTGATTGCGCCCAAGGACATACATCTACTTGAGTCCAAGAATGAGATGATATAGATGCAACACTAGGTTGCAAGTTTGGTGTTGTGTGAATGATTTTCCAAAAATGTAGCCATCATGGGATAAAGCAATTTAAGCTTTGACATGGCCGATCTTTTGAATGCTCACAGACCTTTCCAAAGACCAGCAGTGTCATGCCTCATAAGATATTCTTACCACTTCTGAATCGTATATCTACAACAAACAACTATGAGAAGAAAAACCAGGAGACCTAAAGAACGATTTAAAATAAAATTATCATGTTTCCAAAGTCAAAATTTGACCCACTGCACTAATCACATAACATAAAAGGAAACAATGGAAAACCTGAAATGGTAAATGAACTTGTTGCCCACCAACACCACTGATAAAATTGTGAAAGTCACCCTGGTTCTAACATTGGAGTCGAGCGTTCGTGAAAGCCAAATTGCTTTCTTTTCTATTTCGGAATTTAAAAGTCCATAAACACATCGTAGTTATGAAATTTAAGAAAACGAATGAAATATCCATAAGCATTCTGTCATGGAAATAAATGCATTATTCCACAATTAAATAAATTAGGAAACTTGCAATCGCCATAATTGTTCCAGTTAGACATATGTCAAGAACGAATGAACCAACCGAATTCAATCAAGGACGATAAAAAGGAGAGAACTTTAAGACTCATTGCGAAACCTTGATTCCAAGCAACTTCACAGGCGTAGCCAGTCCCGGTACGATACAATCTGGCCCCGCGGCTTCCAGCCTCGCCTCCATAGCGAACCCTCCGCCTACAGGGTCAGGATGCTGCATAACACAGATCACATTAACTAAGCGCTTGGACCGAGGGAAAGAAAGCGGGAGACTGGTCGAATCGACAAGGACGGGTCGGCACACCTTCATGACGGCGACGGCGTAGTTGGTTCTAGGGTTCTGTTGAACTCGGAGGACGGGGTTTAGGTGGATTCTGGGGACGGGCTTCCTGCCGGTGGGAGAGGCCCTCCACGGGGCGTCCTCGGCGAGCAACGCTCTCTTCGAGGCGGCGCCGGCGGCCGACGACATGGGCTCGGTAAAGTGGGCGGGGGAAGCGGGATCCCTGGATATTACCAGAGGGAGGAAAGGACGTGGAGTCGCAGTTTATCCGAACGCGGCCGAGGCGGAGAGCGCAGCAAATTGATGGATGTAAGAACAGAAGAAGAGGACGAGATGTGAAATATGCGGCGGAGGGGGAGGCGGAGAGGATGAGATAAAAGAGATGGGCGGAGGGGTTTGCTTGGGGATTAAGTTGCTCGACTAAAATATTCTTAATTAGTCGTTTTAATTTAATAATAAAAACACTTTAATCCTATCAAAAACATTGTAACTGACTCGATTGAACTAAATACTTCGATTTAATTGGGTTTCAACAGAAAATTAAAATTAAAATGATAAAGAAAAATATCGTATACGTACTCATTAGCCCATATATATATATATATATATATATATATATATATATATATATATACGGACATGACCAAATGGTCCCTTATCAAGATCAAATCAATTTTCATCAATCAAAATGAATCTCGAGATTCATCACCTCCCATAAGCATTGTTTTGGAATATGACATAAGTATAAGGAAATTACAGAGAGAAGTCAGTACCAATATTAATAATAAAGAAAGGCCACTTGTAATTATTTTGAATGTTAAGTATAATCTCATTAAGGGTAATAAACTTGCAAATACAATGGATATGTTCAGATATATGCCAAAAATCTTTACATGAAAACAAAGAAAAAGCTAAAAATTAAAACTAAAAAGAAATGACAGAGGAAAAAGAAACTGCAAGCAACTATTTGAAGATAATTTAAAAAGGGATGGTTTACTTAATAATTCAAACCAAACAGCACGGCAATCGATGACAGCTCCTGATTCTTCAACAAATAATGACAATCAATGGGGAAGAGACATTTAGCACTACTTCCATTTTGTGTTTTTTGTTTCTGCAAAGTGATGGTTCATGCTTTTTCTTTTTTTTTGTCTGGAAATACTTTTACCACTACAGATTTTCAAAGTAAAATGCTATTTGAACATATAAATTCTTTAAGAATTTGAACATGATTTAAGAACCAAAAGAAACTAAAAATCTAGAACCGAAAAAAAAACACTAAAAAACAAGCAAGGGAATGCATTGCAGGGAAAGAGAAAAGAGTTGCTATGTCACCAAAGCAATAATAAGTCAGCAAAAGAATCTAGATAGAGGTATTATAAGTTCCATCGATGTAACCATCAACAGAGATACTACAGGATAGAGAGAAATCTCACAGAGGATCTAAAATATTGTTGTCTACAAGCTGCACTTGCTTGTAGGTGAAGAAATCTTCCATTCCATCATTCTCTCAGCATGTAGCCCTTTTTCACAAAGAATTTCAGAAGATCCCGAAAGCCCATTCAGAAGGTTCATCAAGGTGGAAGCATAATCTTGATGGAGCTGCGGCTGACAGACCAACAAAGAATGATCACTGATATGGCTGCCTGCGATTTAAATGGTTTATATGGAAATGCAAGTGCCAAAGAACTTTAGAAGAACAACCAAAGATTAAACAGAAGAATAATCTCTATGGTTTCCATATAATCAACATCCAATATAAGCCACATATGTCATCAGAGGTAAGAGATCAGCAATCCCAAATTAACTTTCTCGTATCATACAACTCAACTAGGAAATTAACCTATGCTAATACTGATATGTGTATCCAAATGCTTTTATAATGAGAAAGCAGAGATCTGCAGCTTGATGTGTTACATCTTATTATCTATAGTATAAATTATGAGGCAAGACCAACTCTATGACCAGATTTTTCTTGCCACAGAATCTAAGTGTTATTCTGGTGCATAGCCATTGAAATGAAGAAACAGATGTACCTGCTCGATGATGAGGCTTTGGTGATCGACCGGAAATAGAATTTTCAGAGCTGTGCTCAAGACAAAAAAACTTGAAGCTTTCTTAACAAGAAGCATTGGAATTGCTAATCAATGCACCAGAATGGCTAATTCATATCATCTCCTGCAAAATAGCTGCTTGTGTGCTGATACTCAACTTACCTCCTCTACTTGGATATTACTGCAAATTTGGAACAACCTTTTGTGTTATTTATGCAGTGAATAGAGGAGTTCATTGATGCCTTCTCAATAACTTATTGCACAGATTTATCATACATGGATGAAAAACATGCAGACAACCATAATATTATCTGTGACAAGTCTGCAACAATTGTCAACGATGAGAGTACTCAACAACCCTTATTCTAATTGACCTGAATGGAAGGAATATGTTTGACTTTGATGAAATCCTCTCCTTCGGAGGGATTCAGTCTCTTGACAAAATGTTCTGGCATGCTTACTAGTCTCAGCTGCTGCAGTGTGACAAGGAACTCAAGTCCAAGGGGTACCGTCTTCAATTTTGAGCATGACATGATCCACATCTCCTGGATGCATCGCATCGCTCCATCCTCTACCTCCCATTCTTCCAACTCTTTCAGATCAGTCAATATTAGTATCTTTAATTTTATGAACCCACGATTGGCGCATCTCAGCACCTTACCCTGGTATGCCTCGTATAGCTGAAGGAAGACAAGGTTGGGGAGCTGTCGCAAGACTTCAAATGGATCTGCAAACAGTCCGGATAGACCCAACCTCAACTTGGTGAGGTTGCTGATGCCACTAAACCAGTGAGGCAATCTTTCTAGACGTCCAGCTATATGAAGCTTCTGTAGAGATGAAGGGTTCAACTTCTCCAGATCTATTGCTGTAGAAACATCAATGGAGAATATTGACAGTGACAACAGACCAGCCATGTTGTTGATGGAGGAGCACAAGACAGCAGCATCTTCAGCTCGCAGATCTTCAACAGCCAATTTTCTCAACTCAGTTAGCTTTCCGACTTCATGAACAAAGGTGCAGTCAGCTTGTACACCAGTCACCACTTGAAGATATTGCATACGTGAGAGTCCTAGTGGCACTTTGATGCTCTTCTCGTCTTGCCTCATCTCAAGGTGCCTCAGATTCTTCAAGCGTTTAATCTCAAATGACAACTTCCTCAGCTGGGTTCTTCTGATGTCCAGTGTTTGCAAGTTGCAGAGATTCTTTAATGACACAGGGAGCTTCTCAAGCCTTGTCCCCCTTACACTTAAGTACCTCAAGTGAAATAGATTACCCACTTCACCAGGAAGTTCCACTAAAGAAGCATTTTCTAGATCAAGTACTCTGAGTAACCTAAGGTTTTTCAACATACGCTCACTGATGTGAAGGGAATCAAATATGCCAAACATAAAAAGAGAGCGAAGTTTTTCCCAACCTTTGTTTTGCAAGGCATCGTAGGAGCTCTTTTGCAATGAAATACGAGAAGCTCTACTAGGAATGACGGCCTGTTGATCTTCATAGACTGCTGAGAAATTCTGCGCTCTGGATATGGAGATAGAGAGCTGGTGGAGGAGATGATGGATTCGGCAGGCCTTCACGCGCCCACTACTGCTGATTATTGATATCTGAATTATGTTTCTGTTGATAAGCTCCATCAGGTACTTCTCAGCAACATCTTCCACCCTTTCCCGTTCCACATCTTTTATTAGCCCTTCGGCTATCCATAGCCTGATCAATTTCTTTCTCGGTATGTTCCAGTCTTGTGGGAATATGGAACAGAGTAGGAAACAAGACTTTAATGGATAAGGCAAGTCCTTGTAACTCAAGAACAGAGGACCCTGCACCTCGACTTCATTGCCGATGAGATCACTGTAGATGTTATCGAGGACATGATTCCACTCCAATTGTGATCTACCTTTTCGCAGCATCATTCATCCCACGATTGCTATTTGCCAAGGGCAGCCCATGGCACTTCCTTACGATTCGTTCGGCTACTTCTATTAGCTCGTCGGGGCATGGTTCCGATACCGCAAACACTTTGTCACAGAACAATTCCCATGACTCCTCATGGGACAGCGGCCGAAGCACATGCGTGCAGCTCCTCGCGCCCACCACCGACGCAGCCACCTCACTGTTGCGAGTCGTGATGATCACTCGGTTTCCATGACCATTGATGGGCAGAACGAGTCTGATGGTCTCCCATACACCTCTGTCCCACACATCGTCGAGCACCAGCAGAAATCTCTTCTCCTTTAGAGTCCTCAGCAGTAGCTCCTGCAGCTGCCTCTCGCTGAGCGCGTCGATCTCCGTGGAGGGGATCTGCATCAGCCCTTTGGCCACTTCGTTGACGAGGTTTCCGAGACGAAAGGATCTGGATACGTAGACCCAAGCCAGGTGATCGAAGTGCCTTCTCACATCACTATGATTGAACACCTTCTTGACGAGCGTGGTTTTCCCCACACCTCCCATGCCCACCAAAGACAGAACACTCAACTCTGGGCTGCCGTTCATCAACCGGCCAACTACAGCATCAAAATCTTCCTCGAATCCCACTATACGTTCTCCTTGATGGGTCCAGGGAGAAGAAGCCAGCAGACCATGGATCCATCTATTGTGCAAGTCAAGTGAGGTTGATCTATCCCCTGCTGGATTGATATACCCCGACCTCCTCCTAAAATGGTCGTCGAGCCTATTTTTGATCTCCCTAATTTTCCACCCAACTCGATGCCGCGATCTCAAATGGCAAACGAAGCAAGCAAAGGGATGCGAGCTGATGGCGTCGAAGGCGTCGATGATGTCCTCAGAATCATAGACTATGGCTCGGATCTCGTCGGCCCAACTCATGTGGTCTTCGGTGGCGCTGGTCTCCGTGTTTACCAGGAACGAGCGCATGCTTCGGAGTTCATCCCGGAGCCAGTCCACACCGTCGCCAACGGTCGACAAGAGGTGGCCTACGTTTGATATTGGAGCGGCGATAGCAGAGGCCAGATTCGGCAGTAGGGAGGCCAAGATAGCTTCCGCCATGGGAGTTCGTCCTCTTCCGCCTCCGCGTGGTGTGACCAGATGAAGCAAGCGATGCTTAGGTGGACCCCATACGCTGACCCACAACTGATGCTGGCCGATGGGAGAACAGAGAACACTTAGCCTAATTAGTCTTTTTAGTTCGTTTCTTTCTCTCCTTCCCTCCCTAATTGACTACTAATTGTAGTCATTAGACCACCCGAGTCGTGCATCAAATCATTAAACGACTACTAATTGGGTTAACCAAATTTACTTACATTTTATGATCAAAATAAAATATTAGCAAATATCGTAATATACTATAAAAATTGTGAAAGATATTATTTACATAGCAATAATATATATCGTAATATACTAATTGGGTAGGTTGACTTCGAAAAGCTTATCGATTGATCAAATAATAATCTAAATTTCGATGAATTGGCCAATGACGAGAAAAGGAACGACTAGCTGAGTGTGGTGAGAATCCAGCGGAGGAGAGAAAATATGACGAGAGTATAAGATGGTGTTTTACTATTTACAATCCTATTTTATCTTTTTTTTTCTCCCTCATAATTCTTTATTTTATTCTCATTGTCGACGCTGCTCCCTAACGTATACATCGCTGCTCATCGCCAAGAGGTGTTGAGACAAGGGGAAGAGGATGTGCTGCTCATCGTCGCTGCTCCCTACTAACGTATACATCGCTGCTCATCGCCAAGAGGTGTTGAGACAAGGGGAAGAGGATGTGCTGACAAGGCTCTCGTCGACACCGCTCGCCTCCCCCTCAATGTCGTCCGAAGAAAAAAAAATAAAAAAAAGGTTTACAAACAGTAAACATCTTTTAAAAATTTTAATATTTTTAAACAATCTCTTTTCGATGAACATAAATACCAAAGGATAATATCGAGGGAATAACAACAAGGTTAGATAGCATTGAGCAATGTTGACGACGAGATAGCATTAAACTGTAAGCAATGAATGATATCATATCGCAATATCATATTGATGGCAACAACAATAGCGTCAACAATAAGAATGAAATAAGAGATTATACAAAGAAAATAAATAAATAAAATCGATAATAGTAAGGCTTGCAAATAGTAAAAAATATTTAATTATTTTTCAAAGAGTTATCAAAAGCAAGAGTTGTCAACAGAAAAAGAAGCAGTGAATTACTAGCTTCAAACCACATACAAACTCCAAAGGAGACGTACATACCCAAGTTGGAATCAGTTCTTCTAAATTCAAATAAGCAAAAGAAAAGATCTAGGAAGCCAAATAAAGAATTGAACTGAAGTTTTAAGGTTACTAGTTCCTCAACAAACCTCTCTCTTAAATATCACAGTCTTATATAGTCTCCCCAGTTTACTGGCCTAAACCTTTGATTGCTAATATCGATCAATGTTAATCATTGTGGCTCAATCTTCCAACCTACTCCTCTCCAGCTTCCTATCTTTTCTCTAATTTGCTCCTAAGAAGCACATACAAAAAATGTTAATATTATGAATTTCCATCTTCATGAAGCAGCATGATCATCCAAAGAGTGAATATTTGCCGCAAGTAATTCCTTCTGAAATGGAGATTAGATTCAAACCCATTAATGCTTGATCAAAGTACTTCCTGGACAGTTCTACATATCCTTATTGGTCCACATACTAATCTCGGATTCATATTCCGATTTCATTTACAAATATATGACAGCATGTAGGTCAGAAACCCTTGATTCAAATGACCTAAGACTCCTGCACTGCAGGCAATGGAGCAATAGATCCTTCAGAAGCACCGCTGGAGAAGCACTGCCAGTCATCACACTTTATCATCATGGAACCACCATCTAGTCTCCTTTGGAGACCGACCATTTCGACAATTCTTCACGTAGTGGTCATTATCGGCCGGCCGTTGCTGCAGCCAGGAGAAAGGAAAGCTTTCGGTCACAACACCGCAAAAGAATATGTATGTGATCAGGGCTACAAACAAATGTATGCATACCTTCATGGTTGCGCTTGATAACATCGACAAAATGCTGATGCAAACAGAGCTCACGGTCATTGCTGGTGACCAAGAATCATATAGAATATCTGCTCGTGCCAACAAAAGAATCATTAAGGAGGGAAATTCTCAACGATACATGAACTGGAACATGCAAAGCCTTTCTGTCCTTTTCAACAATAGGTCTTAACCAAATCATGATAATTGGGATAATGTCCTTTCTGGTGACCAATAGGACTATTATTAGGCAAGACAAAAGGCCAACAATGAGCATCTACGGGGTGCTATTTATTTAAGTGTTCCAACTTTCGCAGATATGTATAACCTCAAGTTAGTTGTTTCCTAAGTGGCGACAACATGGCTGTCCATGTGTTGGTGAGGAAGAGGTATGATTATCATACAAGGTGAACTGCAGAAAATTTCCCATTTTCCATGAAGAGGTCGAGGATTTCAACAGAAGTATAGTCAAAATCAAAGTATGCAATACCGTACCATACCAGTGTTTCGAGGTTGGCTCGGTATGGTACGATACGGTACCAGTGTATCGAGCGGTACACCAGGGCGTACTGAGCACTGTAGCACTACTACAGTATAGTACTGTAGCACTGTATTGTTGCTACAGTGTAATACTGTAGCACTGTAGCGGTACCGAATAGTCCGCATACCGGTATGCCGTCGGACCGGTATGTACCGCCTGTACCGGGCGATACCATTCGGTACTGCATACCATACTCAAAATTAAGTCAGTTCTATCTAGAATGTACTATATGCAGATGAAAGTCAATAAGCATTCAAGATCTACAAATTGAATGTGATTGGAAGTAAATCTCTTCACTAAAACTGGTGTTCGAGCAATTGACATAATAACAAATGGTAAGAAGATGAACTCCCATAGATAGTAGAAGTACATAACAAATTAATTCATTGTTTTTTCATATAAATTGTCATATTGTTATGGACTTAGCTAGAATTGTCTAAGTCATAAGGCACCCTTATGGCAATGTTACGGACTTAGCTAGAATTGCCTAAGTCGTGAGGCACCCTTACGCCAATATCACGGACTTAGCTTAACTTGCCTAAGTCGTGAAACACCCTTGCACCTATGTCTCGGACTTAGCTACGATTGCCTAAGTCATAAGGCTCCCTTGCATTATCCGTCCGCAAAAGGTCAACCTAGTTGTAACCTCACTCGGATCCCGTAGGACCTGTAAAAGAGCAAATTGATTAGTTCGAAAGCAAGTGGCGGACAAGTCCTGACATCTCATGAAGATGACACCTTTACAAGCAATTCAGCAAACACTTGGTGTGCAAGAGAGAAAGGAAAAAACAAAAACTTTAGAAGGCAAACGAACAGTCGCAAGTCCACAAACTCTTGCTCACTGAATGTCGGGCGCGGTGGCAAGTTCCCATAGACTTAATGTGCGAACTTCTGAAATCCAATCAATTTCCAACACTATCCCATACCCCTATCCAGCCAAGTGCCACCTGGGGGTTTCCAGGGTGCTGAGATGGCTGACATTTTAGCACTACTCCACAGCTTGTAGAAAACAAGTCGTGGCACGCGAAAATGAAGTCATTTTGTAGCAGTTTTACTTGTCATGGTGAGCGATCACTCTGCAACGCTGCGATATGTTCTTGCTTACAGTTTTCAAACAAAACACACAAAACAAGGTAAAACACACTACCAAGCATTTGTACAAGCAAACAAAAGTGACAAATGGTTCGTTGACAAATATGTTGTAGGTGCGCAATGATCGTTTGTGACAATATGGCATAACTCACTTGCTCAAGCTAAGTTATAAATGTTTCAAGTAGAAACTTTCCCAACTTTACCTTTGATATGTACTAAGTTTGTACCAATAAGTATCTACCTTTTTAAACACCCAAAGAAGCATCAATGTCACATCCTCTAAGCCTATGAAGTACGAAAAGAATGATTCAAATGATGTCAATGAATGTTGGTCATGGTGTGCTTGCTTATTAAGTCATGTACTAAATCTCACTATTGTAGATTAGCCACCAAAGCCATAGGAGCAGTGTTCTAGATTTATCATGTCAACGAGCAGAAGATAGGGTTTATCTAGAATGTGCTCAGGCGACCTACAAATGTAGTAATTAGAAGAGGTAAAACGATTATTGTTAATAGTATAAGAAAAGACCCAAGAAGACCTAAAAAGACTTTAATAAAAACTATAAATAAAGGTCTAAATACTCTTAACTTTACAGATCTCAATAGTAGCAAAAAATTCATGTAATCAACCCCAAATAGTTGGGGCTTTACGACTTTGTTGTTGTTGTTCTTGATAAGCAAAAGAGAGGATGAAAAACTTCTGACACAATATATGAAAGTTGATGAAGAAGCAAGGTGTTCTGTAGTGGTTGTGTGAGTCTCATAAATTATTATGATTTGCATTAAGGCCGACGATGACACAAACATGAAGACAGTTTGAGATTGATATCAAAATAATAGGAGAAATGGGGCATTCATAAGGATCACAAGCAATCAATGTAAATAATAGAAAAGTACATAAATGTGGTCAAACCTTGGTCCCTCTCCTATCAGCATGGTGCATCTCTATTGCTTATTAAGCCACAGAATAGCCTTATTGACCATTAATTGAATCCAAATATTGATAGACTCAGCACAGTTCAGCCTAGGATAGTTTGGTGCAGTCTCTCAACACATGTTAATCTAGCATGGTCGAGACCTGTCCAGCTTAGTACAACAATCCATCGATCAGAGAACTCCTACACATTTTGTGGAGGAGGAGAAAAGCTAAATTTTGAAAGAGAATGGACATATAAAAATTGAGGACAGGCCTTGGTACAATAGTAAGGTTGCTCCTTTGCGGACTGCGAGATCAGAGTTCGAGGCACGAAAAAACCTCTCTATATTTAGAGGGAAGGTTGCAGATATTGACTCTCCCCAGACCCCACATTGGCGGGAGCCTTGTGCATGGGTAAGCTCATTATACACTAGGTACGCCCTTTTTTCAATGGACAACTCAAAACTAATATGTGAGAACGAAAAATTATCTTCTCAATTCAATTCTAGTTAAGTTGAATGGAGCTAGTTGACCAAGCTATCTTACCAAATTTTAGTAACAAAATATTCTTTTCCTATTATTTTAGGATTGGTTTTTGTCATTAATCTCAAGCTATTTCTTTAAGTCTTTCCTTGTTTTAAATTCTACCTGGTGTACAAGGAAACTAATGAGAATTAGGTACAAGTTAGGTAATCAATATAGGATTGTAGCAGATTTGCAATGAGACAACTTATGAAATTTACAAAAGACATCCTAAACTAATTAAAATTATTCAAAAATAAATAAATAAAAAAGGTCCTGCATCCAACTGTGCTGTATAATCATCAAAAAGGAAAAAAGTAGAAAATTCTGAAGCGAGAAGGGTGGCAGCCACAGCAGGCCAGCTACTGCAAACCAGTCTGATGAAGGTTACTAACTGCAGCACAGCCTGATATGGGTCAGATGCAGCAGGACAGCCCGCAGGCCAGTTGCTAACTACAGGCTTGCTGCAGGCCACCTGCAAACCTGCAGCCTAGGAAGACTGCTGGCTGCAGGCCTTGCAGATACTGGCTCAGCAGAAGCTGCAGCCTGAGTCCAGCAACTCAGTAACCTTGATCGCAACATGAATTTGGAAATGAATTGAATTTGAATATGAATCCCATATAGAAGCAGATTCATTATCACTTCTTTTGTTAACATACTATTCCATTGATTAGTGATGCCTTTGCCAACTCATCCTACGTATCAAATTTATTGGTTTTCTTAGTTCTTCAACATACATGATTGCATTTCTTTCCCTCATATGTTTTAAGTTGTATTAATATCTATAAATGCTTATGATAATATTGACATAAATAAACGAACAAATGAACAAGATCAATGAATGATGTTATATGACATTATTCCCTGCTCAAGGCAAGCAGGTCATATGGCATAGTAGGCTAAGTAGGCTATCAAATGTTATGGCTCGGTAGGGGAATTATGGTGGTGGAACATCGTGCCATCATTTTCTGTGAGTACAATATGGATTCATCCATTTCGAGATATCATGTCTTTACTTGTGCATCGATGTTGGATGATAAGTATGTTTATGTGCTGTGGCATACTAGATGAAGTGTGATCCATTATGATGCATGTTCTATAACTTTGCATTGTTTCTAGCATATTTCATTTCATTGTGTTCATTGCATTGAACCTCATTGGCGTGTACTTTTGGATATATGAATTTCTATCCTAAAGTTCCCCACTCAACAATGTGGTGAAAATGAAATTACGACCATAAATTAACAAGACATCATGAATACACTTGATGATCCAATATCTCTAGGTAGATGTCTTTTCGGAAAATAGCTTTTATTTTTCATACCTAGATGTAGCTAGAGTTTTAACATAACCAGAATGACTTGTTAAATTTATAGATCTCTGATGAATCAATGAGTTTAGTTAACTATTGCTCTGGGGAGTTGTTGTTGAGAGGTTGAAATGTTCCTAGTATACCCTGTTATAGACAAATATATTTGGGACATCAGACACATAAACCACAATTGAGGTCAATCTGGTAAGGTAAGACGGCAGTTCGTTTATCTAGTCTTTCTTCCAAACAATTTAGGGCTCATAAGGGGAGAAGATGATATGGGAAGGCCCAAGCCCAATATGCAAATCAATGGGAACCGTACATGCAGAACAATCTAAAGTTGACATTTGTTTCCTATGCCATAACATAGTCTTCTGTCAAGACATTGTGACCCTGCCAAAGAATCAATACCCAACCCAATTTGAGGGATCAAGGTTGGATTACTTGACACATATCCTGCAATAAGTGCCCTAGTTCGTATAAAAATATCAAAAGATTCCTTGGCCTGAGGTACGTACACGATCCTTCCATTTATCCTACTAAATTAAGCATTGGAGGGCTTGTAAGAGGCATCTCGTGCCTTCTAAGCATCTGGTTGGTAATGCATGTTATCCTTCGGAGTTGATCAACAATCAGTTAAGTAATGAAGTCAGTTCCATCTTATCCCCAAAATAAACAATCTAGTTCCAGCTGCAACACCCAGAACTTTATTTTGCAATGTTGGGAAAACAAAAAGGAAACGTGTTAAGCATCAAAAGTGAAACCATAAGAGTATCCACAAAAAAAAAATGATGTTCCTCTATAAAGATCCTTATGCGATGCAAGAGATAGAAGATGTAACACAAACACATTTAATTAAAGAAATTTTCAGTCAGAAACTTGTAACCAAAATGAAGAAAGCAAATAACAAACCTAGATGTTCAGCACAAAAATGAAAAGTGCCCATTCAAGAAAAGAACCCTGGTGACAATATGAAGCATTGCTAAGCTTAAAAATTTTATATTCCAAAATAATAATAGATTAATTTTACGTAAGATGAAAATCCTCGTTAGCATCAGCTGAGAGCAGGATTACCTAAACAGATATGCCCATTGCTATAGATGTGCGGATGAAGAGGCGCAGGATGAAGAAATATGACCTGATCAAAACCCAATAATTATAAACTTAGTTCTAATGAACCGAAAAAAGTAACCTTTATCAAGAACATCTCAACCATCCATCACCTGCGGGGCTTCCATGGGGTAATGCTCCGGAAAATCGACCTGAAGCTGGTAGGTCTCGTTCGCATACAACGTACCCGGCGCCCCAGCCACTTCAATGACCCATCTTTAAACCGAAAAAACAAAAAAAAAAGGTAATCAGAGAAAATAGGTTCCATCAAACGAAGGATGGAATATGACAAGGGAAAACAAGGCCCAAGACGGAACCTTTGGAGGTTATCAGTAGCCTTATGCTTGAAGCCGGCCGGGGGGTTGACCTGCCACTCCGCCAGCTCCTTCTGGAGCCTGTTGCATGCGATCTTGCTCAAGGACTGCAAGACGATCGACCGAATGAGGTGAGTTCCGGCAATATCGGAAGACGGAAATAAAGCGTAGGGGGTTACTGGGAAGAGAGGAGGAGGAACGGAGATCGGAAGGGGATTACGAAGAGAATTCGGGAGGAGAAGGAGAAGGAAGAAGACGAACCTTGCGCGAAGGAGCGGAGGAGCTGGTCATGCTTCGGCGGCAGCGGCGGGGAAAGACACAGAAGAGAGGAGAAAAAGGCCGACTTTTTGTCCTTCGACTCAAGTGTTCCTCGTTTTGTCCATCCGTTGCTTGTTTCACAAGTTTACAACATTCACTCAGACCAACTCGATGCAGTATAAATTATGAATCTGATTGGTCGATTTATGGGGTTTTGGGGGAAAAAATCCCAAATTTTAGGGTAACATTTCCATTTCTATATTTTTCAAAAAGAGTTTATTTCCTTTACAGAAAGATAAAAAAAAATTCTTAAAAGAGGTTTCTATCAAAATCCAATTTGAGTTAAATTAGGGTTCAATATTTGTTTTTAATAGAGTTACAATATTCTTAGTCTAAAGTATTTTTGTAATAAAGTTATAATGTTTTTTTATTTATAATATTTTTAAATAAAATTATAGTCATCTAAACCAAAAAATTATTATAATTTTTACAAAAAAATATTTAGACCTAAATTTAAGACAAAGTGAGATATTAAAACTTTTATCATGGTTTATTTTAAAACATGTTAATTTTCATCCAAAATCATTCAAATTATCAATCAAATTGATATATATTGTTACTGAAAATTTAATTAATCAAAATTAAGTGATAATGTATATGTTTTTATTATAAATATAATATTTTACTGCAAATATGTTTTATAATATCATTTTTTTAATAAATAAAATATATATTATAAGATTTTTTTAATTATAGGCATATATTTACGGTTACGTAAAAAAAAACAAAGACTTAACACAATATATCAAAATATTCTTAATTTTTATTTAAAATTACTTTTAAAAAAGTAAATAAATTATTTTTATGAGTATTTGAATTAATTAAAATTTATTTGTAGTGTTTTTAAATAGGATAATAGCTAATGGTTCGTTTGAACTAAAAATATTGTTAGCCCCCTACGAAAACAGTATGACCGGTTTGGTTTAACACCGAACCGGTTTACCAAGTTCGGCCTGTCATAGAAAACTCAAAACGTGAGACTTACATGTCCATCGAATTCATAGAACAACTAAGAGAGAAACGTATCCTCCGATCATAGTATGACGAAGAAGAAGGTGGAGTAGAGAGAGCATAAAGATACCAGGAAATATGACTCAATGGGTTGGCTTGTTGAAGACGCAACAACGGTGACATAGAACAATCCGAGATTAAGTGGTAATAAGATTCATCACTACTCATTATTTGGTGATGTGTGCACGCTGAAAAAAATGATGAAATTAAATTTCTAACCTTTTAATTATAGTTTATTCCTCCTGTAATTAGTGTTTCTATACTTTTTAAAAATTATATTAATTTTTTATATTTATACAAATAAAAAAAATTAATCTCATTTTTTTCTCACATTATCGATTCTACCAATAAAAATATAAATTTAATACTTCAAGACATATATATATATATATATATAGGTATATAAAAAAAATCTATTGATATAAATATATTAGATATATGTGATCATTACCACTCGTATCGATTTCTTATCGGATCGATACGTATTGCTCGTATCGAGTGATGCATCATGGTACGATGAATCTTGATAAAATATTTCACATATATATAATAGAATTTTATGTTGCAATCATTATATATTTAATATTGAATGTTAGAAATTCAATGTAATTTTAATATATTGTTGGATTTTGATGAAAATGTCAAGTGAAACCATACCGATTAATAAGGTGTTTTCCAACTTTAACATCACAAAATGACATCCTTTATTAATTGGAGTATCCAACAAACATCCAAACTCCATGAAGATGATTCGGAGACGTACCACATACGGTACGATTAATTAGGCTTCAAGTAGATCCCGAGCGCATTAAGATACTTCTCTGCATTTCCAAAGAAGCCGATGATCCTACCCTCGGCGACAGGAACGGAGAAAGCGACCCCACCACCCTGTCCGAATGGACCGTGTGTCTTCCTCAGATTAGTGACAAAGGTGAGTTGGGATACGCATCGAGTTCCACCGAAGTCTTTGACATGGCCTGAGATACATTTGATGTATTCTCTCTCCCGGAGTTGAAACTGCAAGATGAAAAGAGTGGGTTAAAGAGTCAGATAATCAAAATATTTATCATAAGGAACGAGTTCCTATCATATATCTACTTCTTTCGATTGTGTCCGGTGTTGAATGTAATTTGATCTTCTTGCGTATGAGAAGAAGAGATGTTAAGAGTAATATATTTTTACTAGTAGCTTGAACTTTCCTTTCTTCTCGTGTTCCTCTTTTATTTCACGTCTTCTGGAGAGAGAGAGAGAGAGAGAGAGAGAGAGCAGGGGTGCCTGGTGGGGTTTGCCGCCGGAGCCTCCGTGCCGGCGCGTTTCGTTGGAAGTGCCGTCAACGACGTACTGAACCTTAATGGAGTCGACGATCAACCCAGCATAAATCTGCACCCTTGTGATGCGGGAAGCAGGTCCCATGTCCCAGTGAGCGCCTTTGTTCCCTCCCCATGATCCCACCTTGATCACTCCTGCCTGCATCCATCACAAACACACACAAACCATGTCAACTCCTCTCCTGGGAAAACATTAATCCATCTCTCTCTCTCTCTCTCTCTCTCTCTCTCTCTCTCTCTCTCATATCTTTCTCACCATTGGCAAGCTCGGTAGGAAGCTCTTCTTACAGCGCACTCTCTGAGAGAGACGAGATAGGGTATTTATAAAAGCGCATGTATGCTGAATTAAGAACAGATGAAATTGATTAGGTACCTTAAATGTCATTTATATTGACTTCCACATATCCATGTATCTACGTCGGATCCCGACGACTCAACACAAACTGTCTCTCTCTCTCTCTCTCTCTCTCTCTCTCTCTCTCTCTCTCTTTTTCCGTGTGGTCAGCACTGAGGAAGCTTCCTTCAGTAGGTGATGGCTTAGCCAAAAGCTTTTGGAGACATATCTCTGCAGAGGAGAAAATTTTGTCTATAATCTTCAGGACTAATTGACAGAATAAGACTTTGGATGCCATTGCTGAGCACAACTTTTCTTCTAGTCTTCCATCATCACATGGTGATTGTGAATTTACGGTAATCGGTCAACACACTCTTGAGTCATCGGTGCATAGCGACAATTCTTCTCGTCCTTTTCTCCTCTCGAAAGATCGCATATCCCGCTATGAGTTGGAAAGACAATGACACTGCAATAAGTGATGATGATGATGGCAATAGGTTAGTTGTATCTAAATTCTATCATAAGACAAAAGTTATATGGGAAGAATGAAATTATGTATGGTTGAGTGTGAGTAACTCTAGGATGACTAGTCGCATAGGAAGCCGTCTAGTTGGAAAATATGGTATTTTATTGAAAAAATTTTAATTATTGACCTTTTTATCGGATGATTTTTCTCATATTTATTTTTATTTTAACATTTTATAAATTAAAAAAAACACATAAATCAAACCTAATTGAAATTGAAATTGAGCTAATTTAATGAAACCTCATCCTCATCCTTCACCTCCACCCCGCTCTCCCTCATCTTCCTTCACCTCCTCATCCCTTATCTCATTCCTCCTCCTTCTCATTCACCTTCTACCTTTCTTCTCTTATGCCTTTCCCCTATCTCATCCTCATCCATCTGTGCCTCCTCCGCCTCTTGTGTCTCTTCTACTATGATAAAATTCTAAAAATAAAAAAATATTAATCATCTTAAAATCATATCATAGTGATTTAGTAAAAGTTTGAATTGGTTTAGCACAAGTTAATTAAGTTACACTTGAAATCAAACTAAGTTACACTTGGTTACACGAGTTATTCAAAAAAATCTCTAATTTTAATAATTAATTATCATAAATTATTTTTTAAAAAATATTAATAGTATTATAATTATTTTTTAGTAATTTTGTGAAAGTTTGAGTTGGCTTAGTGGAAGTTGACTAAGTTATTCTCGAAATTGAACTACATTACAACTCAATCAAAGTAATAGTTCAATAAATCACAAAATTGATAATTAAATTATTATGAAAATTTTATAAAATAAAAAATATAAATCATCTTAGTTTAATTTGAGGATATTATGATAATTAATTATCAAAATTAAAAAAAAAAATCGAATAGGTTTTGTGATCGAGTGTAATTTAGTTCAATTTCGAGTGTAATTGGATTAACTTTCACTAAAACAACCCAAATTTATGTAAAATAACTAGGACATGATTATAAGATGGTTAATATCAATTTTCTATTTTTAAAAATTTTATGATAAATAATCATCAATTTTTAAATTTTTTGAATTAATTTTTTATCGAATGTAACTTTTTCGATTTCGAGTGTAACTTAGTTAATTTCTACTTTACCAATCTAAACTTTCATAGAACCACAAGGATATTATTCTAAGATTATTATTATTAATTTTATGATAATTAATTATCAAATTTTGATATTTTTTGAAATTAGTACTCTCATCGATTGTAACTTAGTTCAATTTTGAGTGTAAATTAGTCTAACTTCTATTAAACTAATTCAAGCTTTTACGGAATCATAAGGATATGATTTTAAGATTTTTTTAATAAAAAAATTAGAAAATCATTATCAAAATTGAGGAATTCTTTTTGGTGTGATTAAGGGAGAAGGGGAGAAGTGGAGGAGAGGGAAGAGAGATAGGTGTGATTTGGGAAATGTGGGGCCTCCGCGTATCATATTTGATATGAGACTTTTACCCATTTATTTTTTTAAAAATTAAAAAATATTATAGGGTGATATTATTATTAAAATTGTGTTATAGACTTTATGATAATCATAATTCTCATAAAAATTGAATTTAAATTAGATATATTATTTATTAAATTGAGAACCTTTCCATATTCAAATATTCAAGAACTATTGAATGACAAAAAAATTATAGAATTAAGATGATCATGATTAAGGTAAAAAAAGGTTTATTTTATGAATTTATTTAATTGGGCAAGCACTAACAAATATTAAATCTCTCATATTTGCATCAAAATAATTGAATTGTCTTGAAAAACTGATAAAAGATTATATGGATCAACATACTCATGGTTACCACAAAATTTTGTTCTAAATGAGACTTAATTAATTTAGTAAATTGAGCAACTAAATGGCTAACCAATATTAATTCATTGTACTAACATCAAATTAGTTGAGTTGTGTTAAAAGAGTGACTAATTTATAGAATTTATGGTTATAAATAATATGTTAATTATTATATTTTTTTTATGAACTCAATAAATTTTTATTTGAGAAAATTAAAATTATTTAATGCCTTCTCTTGTCACAGTAAAGATGAGTAATAAATTAATATGATTTAATAACCACTAAAAGTCAATTGTAATTTGTTTTTTTTTTTATGAGGCTTAATAATATTGAAAAAAAAAGCTTAAGTAAAGGGACAAAAAAAAAAAGAAAAGGGTGAAAAAAGGAGCCCAAATAGAAACCAAAGGGACTGTTGAACGGGACAAACATGGGCCTCTATATATAGTCTGTAACTGCTACAACGGCCGCAGGAATTGGCTCGCCCTCATTAGAAGCCTTCCATCCCTCCTCTCCTCTCCTTGCCTCTCCTCCCCACACATCACGACGCTTTCTGAGAGCCCCCAGATCGAGTTGCTTCGATCGTCTCTTACCTCTCTCTTTCTCTGTCTCTCGATTTCTGCCGGTCATTGTTCTTTGCCGTCGTCGTAGCGCTGTCGGAGAATGGGCGAGGAGATTCGCTCGGTCCAACTCATCGATGGGGACGGCGAGTTCAACTTCCCCGGGGTGGAGCATTTCATGAAGGCCACTAAGCTCGCCGAGTGTGGCCTCTCCTATGCCGTTGTCTCCATCATGGGACCCCAAAGCAGCGGTTAGCTGATCCCGTCAAATCTCTTTCGTTTCCCTTGGCGGCTAGTAGTTAGGGTTTTGATCTTACGAAACATAATGAAAATACATGACTTTAATCAAAGTTTGGCGTGCTGGCCACCCTCCTTTTTAAATTTTATTTGGGAAAGTGATACTCCTGTTTTTGAGTCAAATGTTTAATTTTCTCCTTTTAAGTAGATGAGTTAATCAGCTTCAACCATTGGGCTAGACGTCAAATTAATCATTGGATGAGTTTTAACTTTCAAAAGGGCGATCCTCAGGACCACGATAAGGTTGCACCTTGATAATGATTCAAATCATAGAAAAATCCCTCTGCTTGCAAGGGTAAGACTATATGCACTAATCTTTTCAAACCCTACATTGGTAGGAACCTTGATGTTAGGTTAGTAAATTTATAGAAACGTGTTATTGCTTTCAAAAGGGGAATCCTTGGAGCCATGATGTGGTTGTCCTTTTGCAGTCTAGTTGATCAGCATTCATAAAAGTCTCTGTGTTCCATGGATAAAACTACGTCTATTGACGCTTTCCACACCCTTAACTGACAGGACTCTTGCATTGCCCCACCACTAGTTCTACCTTCCAAGACCCCAGAATTTAATTTTGGTTGAACAAAGTGGATCTTGTCTCTTTTTTGTGACTTGAAAATAACCTCTTAATCATGAGTGGATCTAGGAAGAGACGTCAGAGTGCTTATAAACTATTTCATAAGATGTAAATGTCCTACAATTATGTTGTTAATGGAAGAAGACATGATGGACTCACAGATTCTAGATTCCACATTGTTGATCTCCATTTACAGCGTACCGGTTCACTAAAACATAAAGAATCAAACAAATATATTGAGAAAGAAAAAATGAATACTACGACCAGAAGCAAAGGAACTAGTATGATTTGTGTTTTACAGGTAAAAGCAAAACTAGAATGCATTTGAAAAAGAATGATGCTTTGAAATGTCATACAGTATTTGCTTTGTTGATTTAATGGGAACCTACAGAACGTTTGACTTCAGTATCTACATGATATGGATCATGTACTTCTCTCTGAAATTACGGTTCCTTAGCAAGATAAAAATATATGTGGATGCATGCATGTGCACAACATTCTTATGTATTTTCATATGTGTCTGTTCACGCTCACCATCCATTGACATACACAGGAATACAATTATGATAAGCCAAAGCATGGATATACTAGGTATATTCATTCTGGTCTATTAATGTGTATCATTATAATAAATATGTAGCAGACCCAAAAAAATGTAGGTTTATGGTGATGTATGTTTCTTTTTGTCCTATATCTTGGTTTGGTTGAAAAATGCTTGACATGCTGGACAAAAGATTTCTTATGATCTTTCTTTTCAAGCAGGGAAAAGCACTTTACTTAACCGTCTCTTTCAAACTGACTTCAGGGAAATGGATGCTTTACGTGGAAGGTACTGCTGCTTCCTTCATGTTTGAGAATACACGGCATTGTTTTTACGTACTCGATTGTCCAGATATATAACTTTTCTCATTTTTCTTATTAGGAGTCAAACTACTAAAGGTATCTGGTTAGCGAAGTGTGTTGGCATAGATCCTTGCACAGTTGTTATGGATTTGGAGGGTACAGATGGAAGGGAAAGAGGAGAGGTAAATGATACAAAATCATTTAAGATTTCCTTAGGTTTGCACATTTTTTACAAATCTATTGGTCTTGAATTTTACCCCAACTTAACTGCCTCAACTAAAAATTCATTTCAATAATTGATTATAATTTTATCATGTTGCAGTTTTCAAGAAGAAATTTTTGCAACAAAATGACTGAAACATGGTATTCTTGGGCTAGACATATTTAGTCTTAAATTTCCATTCTTACAAACTAGAATACTGTTTTAGTCAATAGTGGTATGCTCCTGAAATCTTTAAAATGTAATTTTAATTGAAAAAAGTAATTATTACCGACATAACTTAGGAATTAATTAATTTCATTATGGAGCTTTAGTCAGATATCCTCCACTACACCAAAGCTTGGAATGAATTTGCATACATAAACTGGCAATCATTGCTGCTGAAAGACCAACTTTATGCAAATGACTGAGTCACTAGATTACTTGACTTGTGATTAAAGAACATTACTGTATAGTATTTGTGCTAACCTAGGATCAGTAATGGCAGGGCAACAGTACACTAAGAATAATGGTAGAATTGTATATGCGTTGTTGCATTTGCAATACATTCCCAATTCTACATTTCATAGGAGATCAGAAGAATTAATATATCATAACAAGGATATCAAGTCTGCATGTGGTTGCAGATATGATAATCCAGTAATTCTGCACTACAAAAGGATCATTAAACTTCTATATATCAACTGGAGGAAAAAATACTAGATTTTTATAATTAAGGGAAGGTTTAAAATTTCAGTCTGGTGCCAATACCAATTGGTAGATAGACCGGTAAGGTACAGGTATGATCTACACGAAGTTAAGGTGGGGGACTGAGGAGGCTAAGACGGAGGCCACTATAGAGGAGTAAGGGAGGAAGAGAAGAGAAGCTGGTGCTATTGAGGCTCATTGACGGCTATTGAATGCTGTCAATAGCTGCTATTGAAGCGGCTAGTAGCTGGCTGTGGTTTTATTGACAGTATAGTTTGGTAACAATCATCTTGCTCTATTGTGTGCTCTATAAAATAGCCTTACTGGATGGTATGCCAGGATGAACTACAGTCCCTGTACTGATTGATTAGCCATGAAATCATTATATACCAGTCTGTACTAAATAGTACAATCAGTATTTAAAAGCTTGACTTAAGCATGTTAGAGCATTCATGGAAGTGCTCTCCATGATGGATAGAGTGATAGCAAAACTTGGAGGGGTTTAGGATTTGGGTATTATTTTGATATTATTTGGTGTCTAGCAAGGAGCATTGGGCCATGTTGACTGGTGGTGTTGGTCCCTGGGTAGAACAGTACATATTGGTCAGTGCGGGTGTACCATGTGTTGGTACGTTGATATATATATAATTTTGAAAAAAAAAGGCTGAAAAATGACTGAAAAATAGAAAAAATCATTTTTGGGGATTTTTTTTCCTAATCTGTTGGTACATAAATTTTATTTAGATAAGAATAAGGTGTATCTAAGCCATAAATGAGTAGGTTATAAGGAGGTTTCGGATTCGTCAGGGAACAACTTTGTCAAGTTGCTTCTATTGATCTTAGATCAGCCGATTAGGAACTTTAATCACAAGTAAGAGTATCAGAAAAGAGAGAGAATGAGAGAGTGAATGAAAGAGAGGGAAGGGAGGGGGATTTAAAGCCCTAAAAGAGGCCCCAATGGTCAATTTGACCACTGGGGTCAAACTAGGCATGATTTGGGTCAGTTAATCAAATTCCAGTTGGTACCGACCTATATCGTTTGATACAAGCCAAGTTTTACCATATCGACTAATACATTATACCTATATAGATCGATAATGGGACCATATTTCAGCATATTGTCTGAAATGGGTTGGTCTGCATATCGGTCAACTGGCAGGCCAGTACGTACCACTCATTTCATACTATTTCGAGCAATATGTCAAACCTTGGTGTCTTTGAATATAGGTCTTTAGTGATGATATTCTATGAATATTTGACTGGTATCTTTAATTGAACTTTTTTGTTGTATTTAAAGTCATAAACTTCATTTTCTTTTCTTCTTTTCCTATTTAGTTTTCTATTTATATTTTCTTCTCCCCATGGATTAGACATTCTATTCAGTTTTTATAGGGATCCAATTGGGATCAGATCTTATCACATAAAAAATGGTGGGTCCATCTTTGCAATGGCTTTGATATGAAAATAGGATCAATCCAATTAACGATACAACTGAAGAGATCCACTCTCTAGACCCACTACTTTGTAGTCTCTTGTAACCTGAGACTGTCACTAGCACTCCTTAGATGTCAAATCTGCAAAACTTCCACTCGTTTGGTTCAAATCTGCAAATCCGATTGCTTCCCACACTGCTATATACAGAGAGAGAGAGGGCTAATCCTATTAGGCTATTTTCATTCTCATTCCTAAAAAAACAATCATTTTGAGTATGTTACTGAATATTACATGTGATATGCTTTTAGAGACTCGCTGAGATTTGTTTAATTGAAAACATATAAGTTGATTTTAATTTTTTATTGAATAAAATTTGGTACTTATTTGTTATAGCACCTTTGTGTGCGTGTGTATTACTAAATAGCTAACTGAATTTTGTGAAATGAAGCTCTGCTTTTGAGAATTTCCATACACCAAGCAGTGCTAAACTTTGTCTCGTAAATCTTTTTCAGAATATTCCTCATGAAATATTTTTAAATTAATAAATGGCATGTTTTTCTTCATGATTCAAGTTGCTAATATGGAATATGGCATATTTCAGTGAATATATCACAAGTTGCACATGGCATACAAGAAATACATTATTTTAAGTTGTCGTATTATCTTGGCTAATACACCTACTAGTCGTTTTGTTCTTCCTTCTTTTGACTTAGCAGCTTAATGCAAAAATTCTCTTACACAAAGATTAAGTGTTTGTGTAGTGGATGCAAATTAGTTGCATTATCTTTCGTAGGGCTCATCCTCATGAATTACATCATTTCAATGCTTTTTAATTATTTTATGGGATTCAGATTATTTTCTTGATTCTATTCTTAAACATGGGTATTGTTTCAACTATCAACTTTGAGAGGACTGTGTATTTTCAGTTCGTTAAGCATTAGTATGTGCAATAATCACAACAAGCATTAGTGTCTTCATTTCAGGATGATACTGCTTTTGAGAAGCAAAGTGCACTTTTTGCACTGGCAATATCAGACATTGTTTTGATAAATATGTGAGTCATAATTGTGACTTCTGAGCATTTTCTTATTCATATGAGATTGTCACAGGTCCAACTTAAATAATTCATTTTTGATCTTCTAAATCTTACCTTCGTAAATTCGATTCATCTAGGTGGTGCCATGATATTGGCCGGGAGCAAGCTGCTAACAAGCCATTGTTAAAAACAGTATTTCAGGTATTGTGTTTTCGTTTGCTAAGGCCAGCATAGACTTAAGTATGACAATTGTGTGCCTTTGTGCGCCTCTTGTAGGTCATGATGCGTTTGTTCAGTCCTCGCAAGACCACATTACTCTTTGTTATCCGTGACAAGACAAAGGTGTGACCTGCAAATCTTTCCTGTTATATTTTCCTAAGTTTTCTGGTCAATGATGGCAATACCTTAATTAATTCCTGTATTTCTGGTATATCTCATAGTTCATTGTAATTGCTGATTGTTGGTATTACTTGTAGACGCCATTGGAACATCTAGAGCCAGTTCTGAGGGAAGATATACAGAAGGTGTGTAATCTGCTTTTCTTTACATATTGTAGCTTTTTTCCCTTATCTATGCTATTGTTCGCAGATATGGGATTCTGTTTCTAGGCCTGATGCTCAAAAGGACACCACACTCAGTGAATTCTTTAATGTATGTTTCTTCCTGCCAAAGGATTATGATTTTGTGAAATAATGTTGACTTATATGTTTCTGATTCCTTTGTTTCTCCTGAAAAGTTGGAGGTGACAGCATTATCTAGTTATGAAGAGAAGGAAGTACAATTTGAGAATCAGGTATTTAGTGATCAGAATATATTCGAGCAATATCTAATCTTGGTTTTCCTTATGCAGCTTGGTGTAAATAACTTTTCCGCTAACACTACCAGCTTTCACTTAGTATTTACTAATATCTAGAGTCTGGACATCAAGTTTATCTGGAATTTTGCTGATCATCCTACTTAAAATTTTTTACAATACAAGATAGGACATAAATTCATCTTTATACTTGTAATCTGTATCTATAATTCTATATGTATATTTTTACTGAAATTGATAAGTATACATATATGTATGCGCATGTGTCCATATAATGCATGTGTCTATATGTGTATTCTATAGATGAACTGGAAAATGTTGTTGAGAATGTTTCACATTACAGGTTGCAGAACTTAAGCAGCGGTTTGTCCATTCAATTGCCCCAGGAGGACTTGCAGGTGACAGAAGAGGTGTTGTTCCTGCTTCAGGATTTTCCTTTAGTGCACAACAGATTTGGAAAGTTATAAGAGAAAATAAGGATCTTGACCTTCCTGCTCATAAGGTACATGATATCTGGAGTGAAATTTTGCTTAAATAAATAATTATTAAAAAGCTTCTGTAGATCTTCATCTTTCCAGATATAATTATATGTCAAAATGACAAGAATTCTGCCTATTGAGTAGTGTCTTCAGATTAGAATAACACAAAATATCATAAACTTCAATTGAGAAATGTGTCGTCAAATATGGGAGCATAGGAATGTATTACTCTTGTACTACTGAAGCAATTGACTAGTGAAGAAATTAAATGCAATCTTTAAACATATATGTACTTGTGAAGCAACAAGCTCTTTAGTTTATCTTCTTAGTTCTTTTGTACTTCATTGAATTTCCTAGGTAATGGTTGCTACAGTTCGTTGTGAAGAGATTGCGAATGAGAAGCTCAGCCATTTAACTTCTGATGAGGTGACATCAATCGTAAATTTTAATAACTATGTCTTCATCCGACTTAGATTTGTCCATAAAATTCTGATATTTTAGTGCTTCAGAGATGGTTAGAGCTGGAAGAGGCTGTTCAGTCTGGTCCTGTTTCTGGCTTTGGGAAAAAACTTGGATCTATTCTTGATGCTTATATGTCAGAGTAATACATCTTAAATTGCTTCTCTTTTAGTTTCATTTATTTACTCTAAGAAGTACACAAATACACCTATACTTCATGAATAATTGAATACGATTGTCTCACTTTTCTTTTTATGGATCTTCATACAGCCCATTCGTGATGTAGACTGATTGCACTTCATGGTTCATTTTGTAAGACAATGTACTAAGGGTTTTTTTCCATCATATAGATTATAGGTCCATTAATCAATCATATTAAAAACACAGTTTCTGATAAAAATGCCTTTTTCATGATTTACATCATACTAGAAGAGGATTAATACATTTTTATTGCATAAATAGTGAGAAATAAATTTGATGATTTATAGAAGAAAAAAGTTTTGATTTGGCACAATGATAATATGACATGACAAATGACAGAAATAGGGCCTAAAGGAATCTACATAAGCACAACACAAATTCCAGTGCATATTGCATGTCCACATGGCCTCTACTGTATGTGGGCAAAACAGGTTTCTGTTAGCATCACACCTTTACATGTGAATACCACCCAATAGTTAAAAAATTATTTCGGTATCTCTTGATTGGTAGGTGCATAAAGGAAGGTTCTTCTATGACAAAGAAAGCTCCGTCTGAGTTTAAGGTTTTATGGGTAGTGTGAATTTGGGCAATCCATATGCAGCTAGTTTATGACTAACAACCCTTAATCTCTATGAGAACCGAGAGGAAAAAAATGTTTGTCTTTCCTGTTTCCATAGATCTGTTTAATGCTAAAATAAATTGGTGCATTAAATCTTATCTACTTCAAAGCATTGCTTATACACAACTGATACAACGACAGAGTATCAGTAACATTGCTGTTATTATATTATGCCCTTTTATGAAGGACAATGTGAAAATTTGTTTGCACATATGATTGCATAAATATGGTTAATGTATTATTATTGAAAGATAACTTGCAATATCAGGGCTATAATATATAAAAATTTAAGACAAGATTTAGATTATCCTATGAAATCATCAGGCTATTGTAGATATCTGAGTTAAGATCACACCGTAAAATCTTTCCCAACTTTTCACTCATTAATCACAATGTAATATCATCAGATTTGGAGTGAGTATGCATAGAACTGACATACTTAAACATTCATTGCCTTCATAAAATTTATAAATATTCTATTAAATTCTTTTGTGGTTTAACAAGAACAAATTAGCTTTGCTATGTCTGACATAATAAAAACACAATTTTTTTTGTTTTTTAACCAATGAATTTCTTGCTTTATTGCTATATACATGTTTTGTATTAGAGGAATTTAATTATATCAGGTTTGATAGTGATTTAGGGATGTTTGAGTATATGCATTTCTAGAATTGAATCTGAGTGGTCAAAATAATTGCTTATTTTAATTTTTGTTCCTCATCGTGCACTCAGTTTGTATATGCTCCCTATATTTGTGTTTGGATTTGTTAATCCAGCTGGAACGTTACATTTATGCTGTTGCTTGAATCAGAATCATTTTAGTTTATTTTGAACAGTAAATTTTTGTCAAGGAAATATTTAATTCCATGCCACCTAGGTATGACATGGAAGCAATCTACTTTGACGAAGGTGTTAGGACTGCAAAAAGGAAGCAATTAGAATCTAAAGCTTTGCATGTGAGATAATTTTCTACCCTACTCGTCCTCACAAAATTTTATTTTTCTATGGTGAAATATCAACCACAGTTTCTTACTCAAGATACAATTGTCTCTTATTATCTGTGTATTAGGAATGTAGTCAATTCTGGGTGAAACATATATTAGGAATGTAGTCAATTGTTATCAGATGTCACTCTAGCATGTAGCATCTATATAGCAACATTGTGGATAATGTTATGGCTTATCAATGCAATTACAATTTACAACATAATTAGCTTAGTTTGAAATTTGCAAAGTTGAAAACTTGAAATAATATTTACAAATCTAGAACTGAATTGTTTGATTTTGAACCAAGGTCTGCCATACTGAATCGTACCGCCCGGTACGGGTGGTATGTACCGGTCCGACAGGCCAATAGTACGTGGACCGCCCGCTACCGGTCCGACTGTAGCAGTGCACTGTAGTACTGTAGCAGTACAGTGTACTGTAGCAGTACACTGTAACACTGCAACAGTACAGTTTACTGTTGTAGTGCACTGTTATAGTAGCAGTACAGTGCTTGGTACACCTGGGTATACCGCTCGGTACACTGTACCATACTGATACCGAGCCCAGGTCGAAATATCAGTACGGTACGGTATTGCGAACCTTGCTTTGAACTGTATCAAATTTGAACAAAAATATTTTTTATCCATATAAAAGCCCTTAGGCTGTAAGGACTTGTTTTCAGCGGGAAGGACTATTTCGGCAATCTTATAACTTATATGATGAAGAGTAAAAGTACTACAAGTACAAGTTATTTGCTTGAATATATGGAAGGAGCTGATATCAAGATGAAAAAGAAAGAAATTTTATTATATTGAGGAAAAATATAGATTGGATGCAGAAAAGATTTAGATAATTATTTTTGTTTCTCATAGGAGGCGATGAAATCACTATCTTCACTTGGTACAGCTGGGTTTAAGTCGATGTTGCCACTATTTTTAACTTTTTTAATATAGGGTTCCTGAGCTTATGTGATTGCTTTTTTAATTATTCTGACCTTTCTTATTATGTTCTGTTCTTGTCATCTACTTAATTATGGAGGAACAGTAAACTGATTTATGCACATGGATAAAGAAATTGGGTTTCACAATGTAATTTACTCAGATGGTTTCTATCTCATTCTGTTATATCCTTTTAGATACTAGTTATTTGCTAAAATCTAATACTTCAGCTCCCAAAACTTTTGAATTCAGATCATAATTATCATCTGATTCTTTATCCATCACATATTTTTGACATGAAGCATAAATCTAGAAGATGTCACCATAGTAATTGAATAAATTTGAATGTATTTTTATGATTGACTGTTAATCCAAACAATCCCTAAGTTATTCCTGAATTTTCTATCCATCTATGCACAAGATTGGGTCTAACCTTGCAACTTAGAAGGATTAAAACCAAGGAAGACCAATTTGATTTACATATTTTAGGCTTTTAATTGTTGGATTATGGCCCTTCGAAAACTCACTTAGTTCTAAACTGGTCTAGAGAGAGAGAAAAAGAATAGGAAACATGGCTTCATTACTGTTCTGTATTCAAAGTGTTAGGAACTTAGTTTGTTTTGCCTAAGCCATGCGATGCCTTTGCATGTCTATCTACAAAGGCTCAGCCTCTCTTAATCTTGCACGGTCCCTAAGGATCTATAAAAGATAAAACGAGTTAGAAAACAAACAAGTGCATGGGAAAACTATCATTGTTGCTCTGCCAAAGCATAAACACTGGATCTATAAGCTGACATTAAAGCAAACACTTGATAAGAATAGTATAATACAAAGATGGACTTCTCAAGTTTTAAATGGTCGCACGACAAACGGTCTAAGATAGTTTATCATGTATAAAAGTTCCCAAGAACAAGTGCCTATGTGACACCAAGGTTCGTCGTACTATGATGTACTGCTCAGTATGGGCGGTGCGTACCGGTCCAATAGGGGATCGTTATAGGCAGTACGTACTAGTCTATCGGTACACCCCATCATATCGTGTGTCGGTACATCGGTACAAACTGGTAAGGTGAACCATGTGCGACACTACCATGGAACCATGTGATAAACCATCCCTAAATAATACCCTGGAGCCCTATTTAGGCATATGCCACTTGGGGATTCCAGGGGTTTGATATGGTTGGCGTTTTTGAGCTATTTTTTACTAAGAAATTTCACCAAGCTATAGCCTAGAGGCTTTGTTTTTGGACAGTTTTGCTTCCGTGTGGTGTGATGATTACACACAATCTGCACTTACAAGCCAAAAAGGGCACAAAACCTAATCAAAATGGGTTTGCCAATTCTATTGCAGGCCCCTTACATAGATATGAACAAAACAAAAAATCATGAGCATTATATTGAAGTAAGGTAGGCAATACCGAATGATACCGCCCGATATGGGCGGTACGTACCGGTCCGACGGCATACCAGTATGCGGACCGCCCGCTACCGGGCGGAACGAAAAATAATAATAAAATTATATATATTTATATATTTATATATAAATATTGTAGAAAAAGGCGACGCGACGTCGCCGAGGCAACGCGACGTCACCTTTTTCGGCGACGTTGTCGAGGCGCCTATTTCGGATTATATATATATGTATATATATGTATATATACATATATATATATATATACATATATATATATATATATATATATACATATATATATATATACATACATATATATATATATGTATATA